AATCTACTTGCAAATAAAAACTGTTAGGTGACTTTTACACCATTTTCCCTATTCCACTTCACTTACAATCAGTTTTTTGTCGTTCTACTTGATGCTGACATTCTAGTTCAATATGATCAATAACAGACAGAAGTGCATCAAGTGAAAGTATATGTGTCGATGTTAAACCAGCAACAGGAAATGCATTTTTTGATAACATTTTAGTTAATTCTTCAAATAAATTTGATAGATATAAATCACAATCATAATTTAAATATAATTCAGCTGATAAACCAGGAATACGAAGAAATTGAACAATTGTTTCAAGCGCAATTTCTTTTTGTTCATAAGTTACCTTCGATTGTTCAGACACAATTAATTCCATTAAACGTGTTAAAAAATACTATGAAACAAGAAAATACACAGATTGTAACATAAATGTTTAATTAGCATTTAATCTAGTACCTCAAATTGATATTTAAGGTGTGTTCTTAAACTTTCAAAAATTAGAAATGCAACTCGAAGAGAGGCAGAAAACAACTGAATACGATTACAGTTTAACATCTAAATAAAAGAATTTATTTATAATTGATTAAATATTTGTACTTTGTTACTTACACTTAATAAATTTCGACATAGTGAATCTTTGACAATGGAAAGTAATAATGGATAATTAGCGATATGATCTGCGCCAACTTCTAATGCAACTGTTAAGAGATTGAGTCCAACAGTCATCATGTATTCAGTATTATTTCTATTGAGGAAAAAAGATCGTTTTTTAATAGATATAAATAAATCAGAAAGAATTAAACCAACTTATCATAATTATTGATCAGAGTAGTTAAGAAACGAAATAAACCACGAACACAAGGCCAACCATACGGTGATAATGGTTCTGAAAAGAATTAATTAACTTAATTAATCATTTTTCGTATTTTAGCATAAATCCTTTCATGCAAGATTATTTTTGAATAAAACTTCATTTTGAGACCTATTTTCACTTAGTTCACATGATAATGATTTAATCACACGGAATGAAAGCGAGTCAAAGTTCTATGTGTTGAATTTTGCAGATTATCGACAACAAATCAGCATTCATTGTATAAATAAACAACTAAGAGAAATCAAACTGTGAAATTCAACGTTCTATCCATTATTGTAGTTTGCAAACAAAAAACGGTTCACTAACAAATATAATTGTCTATATGTTGAAGAGACATACAAAAAAAAACTGTGTTTAAACAGAAAACAACATTCGACTCTTTTTCTTGCAAGATTTCAATTTGTCAATAAAAATACGAAGCATAATATGATACAAACTGATATCTTTCACAGATCGATCATCATCATCATGGAGAAGTTTATCTTGTTATCTATTCATTTAAAATTAGATTTTAGTTTTAAGACACAGATTTCAGTATTTAACTTAAACAATAATAGACAGACTCACATTTCAAATATGTTCTCGTATGAGATAGTTAAATAGATATATAAAACTATATTCATACGATTATGCAATTCAAAATTTTCCTTGCGTAAAAATATGAAAAATATTGTTAATTTAGGAAAATTATCAGGTTTATTTACCTTTAACTGGCCCACTAGTAGTTGGAGTTGAAGTCGCTGTTGTGAATCTAATACCTCTTGGATTAATATATTCATTATTAGTTGTTGATGTTTGTGATGGTAATCGTGAATTTGATGTTTCTGGTGATTGCGGTTCATTTTCTGTTGCTCCAGTTATTGATGCTTCATTTATGTTAATTACTCTTGATGCTGATTCATCAAACGAAGGAACAATTACTGGTAGACTAGGTTCTGTCGATGAATTATCTGAAGTCGTAGACTCTGTTTCATTATTGATTGTTTCAATATCTGTTGGTGCTGACGGAGGAATTTCATGTGTAGCATTTTCAATTGCTGTTGGCAGTTCATTGTCATCGGTTGGAGATGACTAAATTAAATAGACATAATTTATTTTTCTTAGAGCCTTTAATATTTAAAAAACACAGGTATACGTCAGTTAAATTTCTTTCTGATGGAGATAATGCTGATTCTATAAGAAAAGAAAAAAAAGAAATCAGAAAGAAGCTAATAAAATATAATTTAACCATTGATCTGAGATTCATTTATTTGTTCTTTTTTAATGGATGATAAATTGGCTCTTTGTTGAGAACGACGTCGACTATTCGTCGAATCACTGATTCCTGCCGTTGTTATACCTCGAGTGTGCAGCTACAACGAAATCATACAAACGAAATGAAAAATCAAACATTTCTTTTCTCCTTACTCGTTTTGTAAATGTTGATGATGTTGTATCATCTTTAAATTGTGGCAAACGTGCAAATAACAATTGAACCATATCAATTAAAACATGTTCTGATGTTTTACGTAATAATTCTAACAAAACAAAACGCATAGTGTAAGAGAAACACTACTGTTTGTTAAAATAAACCTGATAGTCTTGTTTCGAAACAAATACGAAAACATGATTGAAGAATTTCACATACGCTATCATTTGTCATTTTTGATCCAGCTGAACTAAGTAGTAATGAACGAAGCACCTAAATTGAGAAGGAGAGATATAATCGTTTTAAGATAAGTAGAGCTAAATGCGAAAAAAATTTTCCCATAAATTTACTTGTAAAATTCTCATTAAAACAACTTCATCATTATTTGGATTTGTTCCCACAAAACGAGTATGTGTTACAGCATTTGCAACTTTATCAATAGCCGATGCTGTCGATTCACTGTGAGTATCTATCAATTCAAAAACTTTCCTTCGTTAACAATAAAATGACACTAAATACATACCAATAAGACCATACGAAAGAAATTTATTAACAGCATTTAATGCCAAACATGTCATTGGACCAGATGTTTCCTCAGAACGAATTATATCAAGAAATGGTGTTAGAAATGTATTCGAATCAATATCTTGAAGGTCTAAAAATATTTATTTTACGAAAAGTTTTTTCTTTTTATGATGACGATATGCTTGTTTTTACCCGACACGGAATTTAGAATTGTTTTAAGTTTTTGAAAAGAATTCAATTCAGAAGATTCCTATTAGAAAAAAAGATTATTGTGCAAACAATATTATTAAATTCTTTGAAATACTTCGTATGAATGATTTGTTGACCATCGAAGACTATTCTTTCTTGATGATGTCAATGTTTGAATTTCACCCAAAATTATATATAAAGCATTTTTAGGCGCCTCAAATGATGACGACATCTTTTAAATAGAATTCGACAACCAAATGCCAGGTTTTTCTTAACGATCAGTCTATATATATATGAGAAAAAAATCAATAAAACAAATTATCAAACGAAGAGTAGAGAAGAGAAGATGATACATATCCATGTAAAAACTCATCCATAATTTACTCTGAAGATCATTGAATTCAAAACCAATCAAAGAATTTATTAGTGGGATGTCACTGGTTTCCATTTTGAGTTATAGGTGTCATACACATAAAGGATGCCGAGGATAGGAGAGCATATACTGCCAGTTCACTCCAAATCAGATAGAGAGTATCATGAAATCAAAGACTACGACTATTGTCTAGACGCTTTCTATGAACGACTCGCCCTTATGATTGTATAAAAATATGTATGACTATACATTTTCTATTGGCTTGATACTAGAATACGTATATGTTTGATTGAAATAAAGCGAGTAAAAATGATGAATTTTTTCATGATTGTAGTTTAAAATAATTCCTTTTATTTGTAATTGGATAACGTAAATAATGATAAAACGTCACTTGATAGAAAAAAACCAGACATGGACGAAATTCTTAGTCTCAGTAAATGAGTTACGCTCCTCAGCATATTAAAACATGAATAGAATGAAATAGCTTCTAGTGTTTCTTGTCATTTGATTGCATACTAAAGTAAATATGATTGTATATATTTATAGGTTCTGTGAATTTTGAAGTAAACCCATTCAACATTTCATATGGGATTGCAGTTGATTCAAGTTCTAGTAAAGTGCATTCCGCTAATTATAATGATAATCTTGTAATGAAATATTTATTTAGCAGTGAATCATATAAAATAACTGTATCTGGAAATAGTTTTGAAATAAAAAAAAGTACGAAATGATATCATCCTACAAATCTTTATTTCGATTCATCAACAAAGAGTCTTATCATAGGTAATTCTTATGCAAGTAGCAGTGTTCATTGAAATTTAGGTGATAATAAATGTACACTTGTTATGGGCGAATACTAATGGATTAAATGATGATAATAATATCAACACTTTTTGATCATCATAAAATTATAAGTCTTGATCCAATGGGTAATATGTATGTTGCAGATATGTTTACTCGTCGTACGCAAACTTATCTAGATGATCAATCGGATCGTACTATTAAACGTGGATATTTTAGATAAAGTGAAAAATGATTCATCTATGTTTAACTATTCTGTTTCGATTTTTCTTGATAATCAACTTAATTTTTATGCTATAGATTCATTTAATTATCAAATACAAACATTTGTCCGCTATTAAATGTTGTTTAGTACTTTTTTCTTTTCACTACAAATCTTTTTACTCGTGTTTTCAAAGTTATGAATAAGTCAAATGAAAAATAAATGTACTAATATTAATCTCATGGTAGAGCCAGTTTTTTTTTATCATTTTGTTTTGACCGATTAAATGCTTAGAATAAATAAAGGATAGCTGACTTTTTGACACCTAATCCTTACCGTTATTTTTGCTGTACCTCTATTAGAATCGAATAGTTATAAATCGACAGGATTACAAAAAGTAGCAGGTGCATAGACTCACATGCTAGAAGCAAAAAAATAGCAAAAAAAAAAGAAATTTCAACGTCACTATTAGTCGTATAACAATGAAAAGAGAGCAAGAATAATAATGTTTCTGTCTAACTTATTCGAACAGCCTGATAAACATGTCTTTCTAATTGGTATTAGTTTTATAATAATTTTATTATGCATACTTATTTGCATGTATATCTATTTAACTCGAAAACGTCGTAAAAAACAGTCTATGATAGCCATTGCTAAAAAACGTTTAATTTATTCATCACCAGCATCGATCACACCCGAAATACCTACAAAAGCAACTAATCGTTTTGTTTTTCCATTACCAAAATTAGAAAATACAGAACTATCATCAAAAACAGTATGTGAAACATCGCCACCAATTTCTGTTAATGAACTTCCATCAAATTATAAAACATTTGATTTAGCTAAACGATATCAAAGATATTTATCATCTGATTCATCGTATACAAGTTCAAACCATCGTTCTTCAAATCCTTTACCATCATTTTCATTTGATACAGTTAAATCAAAAATTCAACAAGTTCATCGTCTTTCAACACCATCGCCAATTTTATTTCGTTCACTTGAGCCCATTGATTCTGAACAAGCTTCGAAAGAATATTCATCAGATTCTGATGAGCAAGACGATGAATCATCAATGGCACCTCCAACACCGTCATTTGAGTATTCACTTTTAGATTTATTTCGTATTGAAATTATTTATAAATTACATTATTCAATTGATGATGAACAACTTTTATTTCAATTAATAAGTTTAAGATCTACACAACCATTAATTGAACGTTGTTTTTCATCCCTTATTTGTAAAATTCGTTTATATACAAATAATGATAAACGTAAAAATAAAAAATATTTTTCCAAAAAAGATCCAATAAATGAAATATTTAAATTTGATTTGGATCAATTTACACTGGAGCAAAGTTATATAAAAATAAATGTATTCGGACAACATAAAAATGATAAACGTTTAGAACTTGGTCATACTGTTCTTGTACTTAATCAATATGATAATTTAATGATAAGATCTGGACATCATCACGATGGTGGATTAGCAGCAAGTGAACAACATACAAAATCTATGCCAATAATTGAAGATAAAATCGATATGATAACTCAACAACAGGTCAAACAATTGATTTTAATCATTATTTTTTTATTTCAATCTCATCTAATTTTTATCTTTTATTTTAAGGTAACATCGGAAAATGAAGCACGTGCATTAATTTCTTTGGTTTATGAAAATGATCGATGTTTACTTCATGTTGGTTTAATAAAAATAATTGGTATTCAATGTTTACTTAAACAACCAATTAGCCATTCTCAACATCGTGGTAAGCTCGTTTATTGATATTTTTTTTTCCTGCTTTTGATTAAACTCTTTTGTTTTATTTAGATCTGATTCAAATAAAGATTTGTACAATGGTTGATGGAAAAACAATAATAAAGAGAAAATCAAAAGGAATCCTAATGGAAAAAAATCATTTTACATTTAGTACATCATTTCATTTTGAATATTTGTCTCTTCATAAAACATCTGTTAGAATAACAATCTGCTATCGAAAAACATTAATGAGTTCTCAAAATAAGCCACTATCATCAATTGAATTTGGTTCGACACAATTAAAAAACCAACAAGTTTTTCAACATTGGACAGATACATTATCGGGACCAAATCGACCACATGTTCATTGGCATACACTTGAACCGATTTCTAAAATTAAAGAAAAATAAAAAGTTTTCGGATTGTTTATAATGATTTTTTTGTTTTGAAAAATAAACAAAAAGAAGTATACATAATCTATATATTAGAATAGGTTTCTTTTCAATCGTATCGTTTCGTGGATGATACAGATGTATATATATGGTATTTTCGAATATTTATTAATTAATGATGTTGATGGAGTATTTGTTGTTGTTGTTATCGATTGAACTGATGCTATATTATTGGCTATTTAATTGACTTGTTCATCTTGAATTTCTATTGATAAAACCAAAATTGGTTGTTATAGATTATTTAAATTCGAAAAAGAAAAAAAAATAATAATAATTCATATTTGTTTTTATTATATTTATCTTGATTTTCAAATGTTAAAAAAAATTGGCAAAAGTTGGATACAGTACCCTAGTGAAACATCTTGTAAGCAAGATCTGGAAATCTTGGGATCAGTAAGTAAGATCTTATCAAGATCTTAAAAAGATAATTTGTATGTACATATCTTGGTTGTATCAGATAAATCTGTACCTAAGATCTTGACAAGATCATGGAAAAGATATCGTTTACTTTTATCTTCTCACAAGATCTTGAGTAAAACAGAAAACGACATCATTAGTGTATTGAGATAGGCTATCTAGTCATTCACCGTTTTTTTCTGCACACAGAGCTGAATATAAGCATCATGATTGAACATGCAAAAACATCATTTTTCGAAATTTTGTTTTTCGAAATTATTTCTCGACTCGATAATTCGAGAGAATGCTGATCTTGATCAATGATCGAGAGAGGACTACTCTAAATTGGTCTGACGGATATCAGACCAACTTAAAACCGGTCAGATCCCAACATCTGACTCGCTTGAGTTATTGGGACAGGAATAATTAAAATTAAAATAAATTCAAAAAATATCAAAACATATTTTCAGAATGCGTTATTCAAGATTTTATGGATTCTTATGTAAGATCTGTAATTAGATCTTGGGTACAAGATAATACAGTTATCTTGTACCTAACTTTTCAAGATCTGTTCACTTATCTGTACCCAAGATCTTGGCCAAGATCTTACTTACAAGATGTTTCACTAGGGTAGGTTCCGTATGTTTTACTCTACAATCATGATCAACAAACCCTTTGAACCAAAAATTTTCAAATGTATTATCTATCTTGAATAGGTTATATTCTTTATCTAAATTGTAATTAGTACGTTTTCTTCATTTAAATATTCATGAAGAATGTTTACTAATAATAAAATACGCAGCGTCTCTGTCAAAAACAAATCTACATGATGATTGTTGAGGAAACGATGAATAGGACTATTATCAAGGATTTTATAGTACCTTCTGTTTTTTTCTCCACTGGGAATTCTAACAGAATCATGTCAACCATAGAAATGTTATTATTATCATTATTTGAAAGAATTTGAATAAGAATTAATCTATCTCATTACTATCAATTACATTTTCAACTATGTCTTATCTGTCATGTCGTAACTTATTTGAAGTTATTGAAATCGAGAGAGAAAATTATGTATCAATTCATGCCAAGAATTATTGTAATAAAAGATTAAATTCACATGATTACATACATTGAAATTTTAAAACTATAATGAACCAAATCTAGTAAAACTAGAAATGTAACAAGTTTATATCAGTCATATTAATCACGAATAATCAGACAATATCCATATTTTTATCCATAGATGATTACCAATAATAAATAATAAATAATAACGATTAATATTATTACTAACGTTTTAGTTTATTAGTAGTAATAGCAAAAATCTATTCAAATCATATGAAAATAAGCTTTTTTTTATGATGAATAAAATTTGGATTCTTAAAACGAAAAAAAACTGTTAAATTCTTCTATTTAAAACTGATACTCTAATAGATTTACTAGCAAACTATAAGCTTTAATCAAATTCAATACAATCTTTTAAGGAATTCAATCGGTTCATGTTCAACAAATTATTTCAATTAGGAGGTTCGAAAAACTACTAACAAGTGCATAACTATTAGCTAGTACTAGCCATGACAACATTTGGCTTCATTTCCAATTGCTTTGATTATTTTAAAATTATTCTTAATTGCTGATAAGTAAAACTAAAGACTTCTTTATTATGAATTTAGTGAAAACAAAATAACTTGTGATAAAAATGCATGATTTGATAATTATTACACGTTGTGAGTAATAAGAATAAAAAAAATACTTGATGCAACATTTCTAACCGTAATAGTAGCAATGTTTGAAATTTTATTTCTAGATAGTCTTGTGTTTTTTTTCTGATTAAAAACGTTTTTCTTCACTTCAACTTTCAAATTCATACATATTTCGCTCATAAATTTTATGATTTTATTTTATTTTCTTTATTGTATATTAATAGATTTGTTATGCTATAATAACTTTTACATGTTAGTTGAAAAAAAAATCCAAATGTGTTCGTTCATATTGGCCTGATGTTTGATATAATCTTGATCAAAAAATAATATGTACAAATGACAAATAGAAAAAAATTGAACATGACGTTAATCTGAGACTTATTGTTTCTTACACGACATATGGCAATCAGGTGAAACCAGTTTATTAAATAAAATAAACTTAACGATGATAAATCATTAATTTCTGCCGAGTAACTTCACGTCACTGTCGATGATTTCCGATGATTGAATCAATGCATGAGCATCATCAATTTCAAGTATATGTTGTAGTGGAAATTAAAATTCAGTAGAATTTAAAATCCTACTAGTAGAAATTGAAATTTTAGTTTCTACTATAGGTAAAATTCAGTAGAATTTCAATTTCTACTAGTAGAATTTTAAATTCTACTGAATTTTAATTTCTACTGCGACATATATCTAAAAAACAGATAAAAGTATGGTTTAGATGAATTATTTTCCAATAATTGAAATCGAAGAATTCGAAATATTATTCTGATTTACTTTCAGTCCACGGATAATCCAGATTTTTGTCAATATACCGATGCAGCCAATCCTGAACAATGTCCGATTTATTGATTTTAATTCGATCAATGAATAAATTTCCACTCCCATAACTTGATTCACCGCTACTTTCATCATTTTCGCTCAATTTTTGATCGTTTTCAACGTGATTAATTTTATATGTTCGTGCTGTAGGGATTATTGAATCAGATAAAACTGATTTGTTTGTTTCTTCACTGGAAAAATTACGAATTCTTTGCTCAGTTTTCTCATCATCTAATGCCTTTAAAAGGTCGGCAATGTATCGTAAATCAGTAGAAGAAAATTTTTCATCGAGCAAATGTGACCATTTTGTTTTAGAATCAGCAATAACAGGAATTAAAATCAAGAATGAATTGTTTTTGTGTTCCATTAGATTTCTATCTGAACCTTGAATTGTTATCCATCGACGTCCTGGTACCGGACTAGTCGGATAAATTGAAACTAAGTGCTTCAATAGATTATCATATGAAATATTGGGGATAATTGATTTATCATCGTTTTGTTTTATTATTGGATTGACTCCATCAAATGATGCCATAATCAGAACAGTGACAGTGTTATTTTGGACATTCCAGCATAAACATGGACGAGATTTTGGACGTTTTTTTTCTGATGAAGCTGAAGATGAAGCTGCAGACGACGATGATGATTGAAATGTAGAGACCTCAGGTCCAGAATAGTTGTAGATCAATTGAAAAGCTCGTTTGACACTTTGCCGAATGTAATAGATTCCACCAAATGCTGGAAGTTGAGAGTTAGATGAATTATCAGACATTTTATTTCTAAGAAAAAATTATTTGAATTTTAACATTTCTCCGATCATCAAGATCAAGATCAAGACTTTAAGCCGACCAATCATTAAACGACGAAAAAACATTAGGCAAATATTGAAATCGATTCATTTCCGTTTTAATTCTCGTCAACTAAATTTTGTTTCTGTTATTTCGTCACTATCATTTTTATTTATAATTCATTGTAAAATTAACAATTTCTCTATAGATGTCATTGCTAGTCATGTTGGTCAGATCAAAAACTTGAAAATCAGGTGCTTGGATATTTTCACAAATATGAAAATAAATTCTCATTGTTAGTCATTGCTTTTTTCTTTTAGATCTTCACTAAAGATGAACATTTATCCTATTAAAATCTTATAAAATTTGAAACAAACAAATAGACAAAGTCTTTTATTGTCATTTTATAACAAATAATTTTAATATTTATTAATTCTTATAAAATTCAGCAGTACCCACGATCCACCATTTAGAAATTCAAGAAATTCTGGAAAATGAAGTAAAACGAGGGCGCGGGTTTAGGTGTGGGTGTTAGAAAGGGACCTTCGGGAATAGGGACAAGAGCGCAAGGGTTGCATCAGTGTGTGGGGAAAGGACAGCCGAGAGAAGGAATTTTCAACACTTGGGATACAGAATTATTTGAATTCCTACATTTTCTAGAATTCCTTGAATTCGATCGACTTTTTAGCTAGTAAGGCGTGAGATTTATGCAAGACTAGAATTCCTTGAATTCCTTGAAGTCCTAAAGGGCGGATCGTGGGAAAATCAAAATGAATATTTGAAAGTGAATTCAAGGTTTGTTTTGATTATGAAGTAAATAAACTTCTGGAGATTCAATCAGCGGAATTCGCAATGTAATTTGTGCTTCATTTTCCGGGGAAAGAGCGACATTGAATTTGTTTCAATCGGCAGTATTTTTCAATAGAAAACAGTAAACAATAAAAGAACACTATTTTGACTAAAAATAACATTCATACTTTAGCGTTTTCTTCAATAGCCACGGTGTTTCAAATGACTTTTAAAAGAAATTCCTTCACACAAATCGCCCATGTTGCGAATACCGGATCAATTTTTGCGGTAAACCGCGGTATTTATCCGTTCTGCAGTAATGGGAGCCGGTAACCGGACCGGTAAAACCGCGGTTAACCGCCGATTTTCATGCGGTTTTTATTACATGGGCAACCTTCACAAAAATTTGTTATTTTTTCTAGTAAAAAATATAATTATAGCTTTGAATCAATGAAATATTATATAATGTAGATAGAAATTTTAATTATCATGGCAATCTATGGCAGTTACGGGAAAAAAATTGAATTTAAAACAGCGAGTACAGAATCGAAGATGGCGGATTATTTCAAAACCACTTGCCAACAAGACTTCCGCTAGTAAAAAGGTAATGCAAATGAGTAGATGCATCTAGAAATTAGCAAATAATATAATGTCACTTTCAAGATTGTTTTGACTGATCCAAAATTATGGATATTTCTGCACGTATTCGTCGCACTAAAGTTTTGGAAATATTTTAGCAAAGTAAACATAACTGATTATTGTTTCACAATACAACAGATAAAAGGACTGAAATCGAAAATTTGATAATTCTGACGAATATATGTCAATGAATGAAAGAAGTCACATTAGAATTATTGACTTTCTCATATCAATAAACTATTTCGCTGATTGAATTAAATAGATCTTTATAAGTATACTATTTTTAATACGGATGATTATTTTACAACAATACTGAATATTGATATGTAATGAAATGTATAGATAAAGAAATAAATAAAACGCTAGAAGAATATCGATAGATTTTTTTATGGTCTTTTAATTTCTCTAAATGTTAAGTTGCTCCTTTGAAAATAATGGTTTCATATCTCTCGAATAAATATAGAGCTATGCATTAGACTACTTTCTAGCTTATTTTTTATGTTAATTTGAAAACAAGATAAACGTTTATGTAGAAGAAGAGCACATCTTTGCCAGTAAAAATTGATCCTTGTTCACTTGTATACATATTGTAAGCTTACTAATTTTCTTATCCAAACGAACGTTCTTTGTCTTGTCAACCAATCTAATATATTGATAAATACGCTTTTTTATTTCGTACAATACATTTATCAGAGTAAAATAAAACTAAAAAAGATGTATCGATAAAATGTTTTTTCGCTAAAAATTGACCATGTTTCTATCTGTATAATGAATTTATGTATATCGTCGATATTGAGTCATTATCTTATCACCTACAATTCACTAAAATATTGTTCATATAAAATATGAATAGTCGATTTTAAATTATTTTAATTTTGTATCCATATGAACAATTTTTAGTTTTTTTTCTTCATCTTATTCCTTTACCGACATTCTAAATGAGAATGAAAATGCCATAACAAAATTATTTGATGATAGTTCAATCATTTTATTTTTTACAGTAATTGTTAACTATTAATACATAAGTAAAGATAATTGTCCACGCGAGTTGGCAAGTAATAAAGTGTTGAATGTGCATAGTTGTTCCAATAGCAACTATCAAGTGATTGTAAATATATTTTAAATGAAGAGTTACCTCTTTTTTCATAAAATCCATCAATTGAAAATACTAATGTTTTATTCTTGTCAATCAACAAGAACCATGAAGTTTAGGTCATTACCAACTAATAACAACAGTTAATCAGAAGAGATAGAAATCGTATTCAAATATATTGTTCCAAAAATAAAACTGTCTTGGACTGATTCATCAATCGATTACCTCGATCTTCATGGTTCTTATTATTTTTATAATATGTACTGTATTATTAAATAAACATTGTTCAATAAGAAATTTTATCTTTTTCTTGTAACTATATTTCACAACTAATATTTATAGCTGCATGCATAATAGTTGATTTACAATATAAATAAATTTGAAACTTAACATTTATCGTAGAAACATAAATCATAACACACTAGCCAATCAAATAAATTAGTGACGAATACCAATGTAAATAAAATGACATTAATGTATAAAGAGGAAGATTTCGGAACATGAATTTCACTTGAAACAAAGACAAGTAGAATAACGTTAGTTAGATGTATCGCTACTAAACAAACACAACAAATTATTCCATATGTAAAAAATAAATGTGCTCGTTTTGAAAGTATTAAACTATCAACTAGAAATATTAAAATAAGATTATAGAAAATAATAATCAATGCAAATGCCATGTTCCAACCTAATAAATGTTTTTGTTCTTGTTCAATTGTTATTTTCCATGATGGATTATGATAAAATTCAGTATTAAAACAAAGCAAAATAAGGCCAATTACTATATTAATACTGCTAATAGTGAATGAATAAGTTCTTGACAACATATCTTCCGTATAAATCGATCATTAAGAGATATCTTGAAAGAAGAAAAACAGTAAAAATAAATTTCTCAACGATATTTTTCTTCATTTTTATGCTGAGAAAAAAGAAAACACTAAAAAACAACGATAACAGCAAAAACGTTCAAAGTTGCAAAATAAATTGTCCATTTGGCTCATGAAATTGTCTACCAACATAAGCAACCCACGTAACAATACCAATAATCAATGTTAATATAAGTAATCCTAAATCTGCAAGTAAAAATCTTGATGAGAGTGAACTAAATGATGTCAATTTGCTAATTTCATATGAAACAAATACAATTAAAACTAGATGGATTAGATTAACCATAAAAGTAACATATGCATGAATTGTTGCATAAATATGATATTGTCGACCCAAAAAACAAGAAAAAACAAGTGGAAGAAGAATAATACCAAGTAGAATAATAATTAAACCCAATAAAATCGAACAACCAAATATGAATTCATAATCAGATGATATTAAAATAAATGCTGTATTGATTACTAATAAGCTAAAGCCAGTTAGCGAATGATAGAAAGCAAGACATCCGGCTAAATTGCCCCAAAAGACACCTGCTTTCCAATTTGAACTATATATTATAGTTGAATCTACGTCCATTATGCGATTTCAAATGTCTTTAACGAACAAATGGCAAAGAATAAAAATATGAACACGCACTATAACACACATATATGTATGTCTATATATCGTCTGTGACGCATAAAGCAGAAAGAAAATAGAAGAAGAAATAACTGTATTTCAATTTCATCTTATCAGCTGATTTTAATCCTGTAAACAGTCTTCATATACTATTCTATATTTTAGTCTATTTGACATATTATTCATCAATTTCCCATAGGAATAGGTTTAAAATAAAAACGTATGTCATACGATCTATTTAATCTTTTATTTCAATTGGAACAATAGTTTTTATTAATTAGATAGCAACTGCTACAAAAAGTTAATCCTTGTATTTTCAATGAAATTCATCATTGATTTTAATATTAATTCAATTTATTTTATTTTTTAACATTATTTATAACTATGAAACTCGTCTCACAGACATGGTATTGCTTTGTTCGTTAATTGGTTTGCGTTGTCTAACTTCTACGCTATGTTTCCGAGCAAAAATAATAAAATAAAAAGGAATAGATTTACATACTTTTTTTCCGAAAAAAAATAATCATTGGAAAACATCAATAATTCATAAATAGACTAGAGTCTATTGAACAAAACTGTTACAAATATAAATTTTATTACATTTTTTATTCTTTTCTGTTGATCATAAATGTGACATGGTTCAAAAACAATTGTTACAGATAGACGATATCTTTCATTTTCATTGTATACGAAAGTTTCATTTTTTATTGTTAAAATTATTATATACTTTTTCTTACCTTTATGTTTTTTTCTTATTTATATAAATGATAATAATAATAACAATAAGACTTAGTGCAATTTTAAGAATAGTGAAATAAAAATTTCTGTAGATTATAATCTTTCAATGAACAAATACAATCATAGAAAAATTATTGGTAAGAGAGAATAAGTTGATCACTCGCTGACAATAGACTAATCGATTAGTTTGCGTTAATCATAGGTTAATTTTGTGTTATTTATTATGTTAAGTCATCATATTTATTTACACATCTTTAAAGGTTTAAGGTATTTCTTCTAAGAAGTTATTGTGATCTATTTATTTTAGGATATAATACTTGAAACAAGTATTACTTTACTAAAAAACAATACTTTTTTTATATTACAATAAATATTTTGTTGAATAAATACTCTATGAACAATTAGATTATTACTACAGATTACTTCTTAAAATATTGCTCATAAAGATAATTGATTGTAATTAAAGAAATTGAATACAGAACATTTTATCATCATGTAAATCAACAGAAAACTAAGTGATCATATTTATATTAATATTCTTTTTACGATTTCCTTTTTTTTTGTCTTATTTTATAATTGTTCCAATTTAGTAGGAAACTATCTCGAACATTGATAAACTAGCTTAGTGGAATTTGAAACAAAAAATAGAAGAACATGAGTCGAAGTAGATTGTAACCGATTTGTTCGATAGAAATTTAAAAATTGAACAAAAAATACTGAAAAATGTTCATAAGAGTTTTGTTTTAATTAGTAATATTTAAAAGAAATGGAATCTTTTTTGGTTTCTTTCTCATCATATATAAATCTTAGAATGGTATTATTACTGAAATCATAGCTATGTCACTTTTGTGACATTTGTGCAATGAATACGTAGCGAAATGTTGAAAGAAAGTAAATAACAATCATGTTATCTAAATTGATAGTTGAAGATGACAAATATATCAAATAAAATACTAAAAGTTATTTGAATGATATTCTATTTTCATATAACAATCAGTGAACCTACTGTTACTTTTAATTCAAATGACTTCTTTTTAATAATATCTTTCTTAGTTGATCGTTCATAAGTATGTATATTTATTTATTTATTTATTTATTTACAATTTTATATAATACTCATATTTCTTTTTTTTTACGAAAATACCCAATTAAAGTCGATGTTAAGTATTTTTAAAAAAGTAAGTTAATATTATTGCTGCTTTTCTTGTTAAAAGGAAAAATGATTTAATAATTTAATTATATTCTCTAAAGATTCCTATGGATGTTTACTAATTGTATCAACACGCTAGACACAATACATTTAAAGTACATTTCAATATTAGTACATATAATCATTGGAAAAATATTGAGTTTATATAATAAAGAAGTGAAAACACAAAGCATGATGTATGATTGAATATCTTTGTTATATTCTCATTATGTCAGTCACAATAGTTACCTGTCATATGTCACCTGCCAGCTAACCTTTGAACATATTTGCGGAGCCTTCTCATATAGATTTATTACACAGTTAGAGACGTCATCAGTGCTATCAACTAGCATATTTATCTGTTTAATTCATTCGTTAGTATTTATCAGTGATGACAAGAATAAGACAAAATTATTATTATTTTTTCTCTCTGTTTCTTTTACTTGTCTTCTTTCCAATTGAATTCGATCTGTCACAAAAGCACATTTTTTTCTTTGACGTCAGTATTACTTGTTTCGTCATATCATTGGTAAATAAGAGTTGTTTTTGTCTTACTATTACTATACTTTCATTTATCCTCGTTTTATTCATTGTTAGTTTCATCTGTGTGCATTAAAGCATTTTTTTCTTCATTTTTTTCCCCGTAAAGCATTGACCCGAGAAAGAGAAAGTGGGAGGGAAAAATGTCGGGAAAAGGAAAAGAAGTAAGATGCAATTATAGATACCAGTATTCCCTAGTTTATAGTCACAAAGTGTTGCTGCTCGGGTATGGATGAGTGGGTGTAGAAAATAAAAGGAAACAAACTTCTTATAAGATAAAATATGGAAATTGAAGAAAAAAAACAGAAGCACAATAGCTGCAATAAGTACTTTTCGTTTCTAAAAAAAACAAAGAGAAAGATAAAATCTAATGTATACAAATATATATTAGTTGTATCAGTACTCTGCGTGCAAAACGAGATGAAAATGATCTTTTTATTCTGTAATTCTATCAGAGTTATATGTTGAACAATCTTGATATAATTTTGTATTGATCTCTTCTATGATTATTTTTCACGCAATACACAAATAATTGCATTTGACGGAATAGCCGATTTTTTTTTCGACTCACAACCTTATTATCATCCGGAGAGAACTCAAATAATAGTATTTGTAGTTAGAGAATATCAAGATAGATATCGACAAGATCAGACACACAAATCATGAAGAAGATATGCATTTATTTTTGTCTTTTTCTTCTTGTTTCTTTAACTGCTACTATAATACTTGAAGAAAAACCAGGTAGTCCAGCTGTTCAATTCATTGAAAAAAGTCGTTTTGGTTTTAACATTTTTTCCATTCTCCTCTTAGTTCATCGTTTTTCTCCTCCCCCTACTGTTTCTATTAGAGTTTCTGTTTGACTTCTTAGCATTTTTTGTGTTCTTTCTGTGTGCATTCATCATAAAAGAAGGCATGAACTTCTATTTCTTTTTTTTTTTTTGTTATTTTTCTTCTTCTTCTCCTTCTTCTTGCATTGCTCGGTTTTCTTATTGAGTATATTTGAATATAGTTTATATCTACCTACGGGTGTTTTTCAGAATATAACTTCCTTACTAACTGTGTGTCAAGTATGAATTTATGAGGTTCGCTTTTCAATTCAATATATGAAAATCAGTGTAGACACTTATTTTTCATTGTATGAGTTTAAGGATGACTGTGACATATGATTGACAACGAATTTAGAGAACGACATGAGGAAAACGAAGAATTAAGAGAGAAGAGAAAAATAAATTCATATATTCATTGTTTCTCGTCCTCAAAGATAAATGAACAACTTCATCCAAATAATACTTCGTAAGTTCTTAGATATTTTCTGCTTATACTTTTTCTCTGATGATAAATTTTCATTTGTAATTAGTATTGAAAATTAGAAAAAAAAAGTTCATTAAACACCGTTATAGTATGCTTTAATTATTATTCAAATTATATTTAGGATGAATTGACTTGTATTGTATTCAAACATAAACAAAGACTTAATTGTCTTTTTGTTTCTGTTTGTAGAAGCTAAACAGGGAAAATATTCATGATTTAGATGAAAAATTTGATTCATGTTTTCTGTTGACTGAGTAAATTTTATGACATTTTCTATTTTTTTTTGTGTCGTCTGACATTTAGACATAATAGATTCTTTTACTGACTTTTTTTAAAAGATTCCAACGAGAACAGAGTACTCGGCAATGATAAGAAATAAAAGAACGAGAAGAAAAAGATAATTTATAATGAAGGAAGTAGATTTGCTATATATCAAAGTTACAATTAATGATTTAGCATTGTTATAGCAAAATTTGAGTGATCTGAGATAGTCTATGAAAAAAGTTCAAAAAACATTAATTCTATTCATATACATATAACGTTAATAATGAGATTTGTATTGTGTTGTTTTATGAAGATAGAAAATAGATAAGATTTCTTGTCTTGTCTGTTTCAACGCTGCAAGTATCTTCTTTTATAATCACTTAAGTGAAGATCTATTCATTGATTATGTGAGTATGTTCTTTATTGAATGGTTAATAGAAAAGTGAATTGTTATAAGAAAAAAGAAATAAGTATTACTTTATCTATTTTAGATGTTATACTTCTTTGATTGAAAATAAACTAGAAAGAAAACAAAATGGCTTTATCCATTGTATTTGGTATTATAGTAGCCGTGTGTCTCGTCTCAACAATAATTTTTTATACATTTATGCGTTCTCGAGAAAAACTTAAATCATCATCGATGGCATCAATCAACGAAAAACAACAAATTAAATATTCTTTAAGACCATCGATGCATATTATAACAAGAAAATTACATCAAGATTTTTCATTTCGCACAAGTCTATCAAGTGATAAAAGTAATCATTCATCATCAACAATAAACGAGTATGAAGAAAATGAGCTAAATTATAAAACACAACGTAAATCTGTTGGATCACTACAGGCAACAACAACAACACCATTACGTTCAGCTAGTATGGTGACTAATTTGTTTCAACCACGTCGTACGCCTGGTTCAAATTGGCGACAAGGTTCAATTGTTGATCCAAATCAAATGGCATTGATTCCATTTTCACTTCCAATTAATAATAATAATAATAATAAATATCGACGCCGATCTGTTGCTATATGCAATAATTTGCTTGAAACAAGAGAAAATGTAATGGCAATAAAAGATTTAAAATTATCTTGCCTGCTGTCATTTTCAATAGTTCATTTAAAAAATTCACAAATTAAAATTCAATTTCATTCATTACAATCATTACCATCAAATATTCATCTTGAAAATTTAACAATTAAAGCTAAGTTAATACCTGACGGAAAAGAAAAATCTGTTAGAATTAAAAAAAGTGTTCAAAATGAAGTTACATTTGAATGTGAGAATAGCGAATTCTTTGTTTTATTTTCCAATCTTTCGTTAGAAAAACTTCTCGAACGAAGTTTATCAATGACAATCAATGGCAAAGATCAAGCAAAAAAATCACTATACCTTGGTCATATTGGAAAAATTAATTTTAACCAAGTAAATAAATTCAACAATGAATGTCGCGTTGATTTTCTTCATGCCATTGAAAAAACTAAACCAGTAAATGAAAATCAATATGTAATGATTGATTAATTAGTTCATTTTTTTTTCTTAATAATTTTAGTCATCAATAGAACTACTTGTTTCACTTGAAAGAAATGATGATCAACATATACATGTTGTTGTACAACGTATGAAAGGTTTAAAAATTGATCAAAAAAAACTTGGTAAGCATTTTATTCAATCCATTTTTTTATTTTCAATTAAAACATAAAAATTTAATCTTTTAGCTGCAGCATGTTATTTACAAATAGTTCTTCTTGATCGTCACCGACCATTAACAATACAAAAAACAAAATCTTATCGATTAACATCATCAAATTTTGTTATTGGTGAAGAACATGATTTTAATATATTAACTTACAATGCCAATAATCTTGATCGTTTAATGATTGCGTTTAATTTATATTCAAATTCAAATAATACAAATGAATATCAATGTATAGCTCATGTTAAAATTGGATCACCGTTACTTTGCTCTGGTAGTGGCACTGTTCATTGGCAACAATTTAAAGCTCGAGAATCATTTTCAATGTGGCATACATTCAATAAAGAACAACATTAATTAATTACTTAAGAATGATGAACGACAAGAACTGAATGACTAGTATTCTGATTTTAGAAAAAAAATGCCGGAATTCATCATTGTTGTTTTCGGTGATTGTTTGTATATTTAAAAACAAAGACAATAAATCAAGACGAGACCCGGTTTAAATTAAATCCTTAAAAAAAGACTTGTTACTACAGAATATGATCTATTATATAAGCTGCTGAATAATTTCATGTAAATAGATGTTTTCTGACATGAAATCAACGTCACCAGAGGGAGCAAATGGAACTAAACATTTCTGTTATTGGTTTGCATTGAACACTTGTCTATAAATGCAAAGAACATTCCCAAGATAACAACTGATTTTCTTTATTTCTAACAATGCCCTAATGTAGCTATTAAATAAAACATCCGCACTATAGAATAAAAGAGACATTCAATTTAACTCTTGATAATAACCTTTTTGATATAAGTATATTTGATAAACTCCCTCATTACTGTTCATCATGTCAAATCAAAGTACCATAAAAGAGATCAAAGAAACCTTTTCAATAATGTGGATAAGGGTTTCTTTTCTTTATGAAAACAACTTCTATGAATGTTATTTAGTTTTATATCAGATAATCAATATTTTAAAATAACTTTTGTAGAATTGAGATTTTTAGGAAACAATGAAAAGAAGATATTAATATTGATTTATTGCTGCAGATCATTCAGAGATAAAATAATGGTAGAATTGAATGGGTGCCGTTAAAAAAATAAACGGTACGATTTTTAAAATTTATCTTAATCAAATATCCCTTTTATTTTAACAATAACGTTAATGAGTACAAGGAAAAAACAATGAAACTAATCATGGTTAAATATTTTTTATTTTTGATGATTTCGACAGATTAAAAGTTTTATTTTTTGACATCTAATTAAGTTAAAGTATGATATCAAATAAAAGGAGCAAACACGTTTATATTGTCTCACTTCATTAATGTCGAGTAAAAAAAAACCTTTGACAGGTTTGTCCTTCGTAGTTAGTAAGAAGCCGCTTGCTTTTGCCATCGTTTCATTATAATGTTGATATGACGAGAGAAAAATGTGTAGTCATCGAGTTACATATATTGTGCAGTTATACAAGATTTAGTTCAGGTTTATTCTTCGTTAAATATGCTTTGCCTGTTCAATATTTCATTAAATATATATATATATCTTGATATTTGTAAGTTCAATTTTTTCTTGAGAAAGATTAGATTATTTTTAGTATTATTATTTTTCATATGTATTGTGATTAATCTTTAGTAAACCATCCATGAATATTCAGCTATATCCTTTATTTATTGAAATATTTTTATAAAAAAGAAGTTGTTAGCACTCAAAGAGTTGGAAAATTTATGGAAAAAAAGCGGTAAATATAAACCAATATCTAAAAATATAGCAATCTATATCTAATTTTAAAATAAATTTATATCTAATACACGATGAATTTATATCTAATTTATTAAGTAACACTACCTAACAACACAAAGTTATATACAATTACTTAGGGTATACCAAAAGTTCTGACCACGAGATCTTTAGTTCGACAAAATTCATAGTTCTAAAAGTTTTATTGTGCGAATATATATAGTAATATGCCTGCTCTATGATACTGCATATATTAGTCCTATATTGGATTTAATTCTAACAGTCATTTTGGAGAAAATCTATAATATAGTGGCTATATCAATATCTAACAGATCTTTGTGAAATGTTAGGATACATTCTGGAATATTCTGTGTTGTTTATTTGCCTCTTGTGTAACGTTCTATGACGTCATGTTCGAGAATATTACATTCCGATAGTATATATAGGTGAAAGATCGTTCGGTTTCAAATCATTGAGGGTGCGGGTGTGGGTGTGGGTATGGGTGTTCTTATCTCTCTTCACACCCACACCCACCCTTTGTAATAATTATTCAACTCACGAAATAAATTTACTTATTTGTTACTCACTTGCCTGAAATGTTCGGCTATGACGGAATATCTTCTACTCCTAAATCTTCTGCAAGAGTAATCTCTTTATTTTTACAACCACATAACAGTTAGAATTTCAATCGTTTTATATATTTTTCTTTCTAAAAAATCTCTTAGCAAGCTAAGTCACACTGTTGCTGACGGCACGTGCACATATATGATTGATCTAGAATCAACAAGCGATGCTATTCATACAAAAGGATCGATACTAGGAAAAGAGTCGTTTAATAATACTTCCATAGTTGTGTTCTATTTTTAAAATATATTCTGTGATATTCTTGTAGTCATAGTCGTGGAGAAAAAATAAGGTTCAAATTGTGATCAATCAAAGTTTCTGAAAAATCAGAATAATTCACGTATTGCTGTAAATATTTGCAACTGTCTACATGCGACCGCTGACATGCACTAGGAGGTAACATGTATATCGAATAAAATTTTTATTTTAATTAACTTTTCATTCCACTCATGCTGATCAATATTTCTGCGAATAAATAACATATTGATCTTTAGTGCAAGACAAATGATTGTTTGATGTATTACTTTGATTCATCTTTCATACGAAGAAAAGTATTTATATCGAGAAATGAAAGATTAACGAGACAATCGTCATGACTTATTTTTCCGGGAGATTTTCATCTCATTTTGAATCATTTTTATTTATGCCAATGTTAAATAGAGAATAGTATAACGATCGTTGCTTATACGTTGCAATTATGATTTTCTCTCAGTTGACTTGATTATGTAATTTATAACCAGGGTTACCAAAGCTCCTGTTTTGACCAGGGATCTCCTGGTTTTGAAACTTTTCTCCTGACAAGAAATCTCCTGATTTCAGGAGGTTTTTTTATATTTTCTCCTGATTTTTTTAATGTGGCGATTAGCAACGTTTTGAACCTGCTGCGCTTTTAAAGAGAAAGGAACAAATCTATTTAAGTGTTAAACTTATATATGGAATGACAATCGAAATCAAATGAACCATGATTTAGTTGGAGCTGAGTTAAAGATTAAAATAAATACTCATTTGCAGTGTTGTCAGATGTCGAACTTNAGTAAATTGGTCAAGTATTTTTTACTATTTATTCTAATGAGCACGTTTTAGTTATCTATTTAAATAAAATTTATGAAGTCCGCATTCTATTTTCAATTATAATTCACCTACAAGGAAATTTTCTGCCTCAATCTCATTATAGGAAAAGAGTTTAATGCGTCTATTAGTGAAAAATTGGATGTTGTCAGATAAAGACCACCCAATGAGTGTTGAGTGTCAAAAAAACACTCCTGATTTTTCTCCTGATTTACAAACAAAATTCTTATGAAAAACTCCTGTTTTCTAAAATTTGAATTTGGTAACCCTGTTTATAACAATACATATAGAGACCAAGATAGATATTGAAATAGAAAATAAAAGAGAAAAATGTATCTTTTGATTATCTCTAAGTTTTTCATATTAGATCTTGGTATTTCTTGCTTTCTAATCTAATAATCTGATCACTCTTTAAAAACAAATTGGCTATGGCCAACTTACAAATTAACTTTCATAGGTCTAATTTATATAGAATTGGAAGATAATTTCAAAAAGATCTGAGAAATTATTGATGTAGAAAACTATGATGAAGTATTTCAACGGTTGTTACTTTTTTTCATCAATGTTCTTTAACTTTGTCTCAATCAATGTAACATCAAATATAGAAAGTATCACCAGACTAGAGTTCGTCACTGTTTTAAAAAGATGTGTTAATTTTTAATTTATTTGCACGAAAAAGCGTGATGTACATCACAAAAGTCAAAAGATTAATTCTTGGTTCGACGATTTAAAGACTATCATAAATCACTTGACTGCTATTTACCAATCAATTGATCATGATCAACTTGGACAAAGTTTTCTATTGAATTTCTTTCTTTGATAGGACATATGTATATATCACTCATTTCACATCTCATTCTACTAACTAATTTGTTCTTTGAATGAAGTTTCTTTTCATTGCTTTACAGAATAAGATTTCTTCAGAATTCACTGAGCGAACAATAGTGCCCTATATATTTTCAATGTAGTATGGAAACTCCTATATTAGTTATACTTTTGAATTATTATTGACTGCAATATTTTCATAACGCACGATGTTACACAACTAGATGTAGTATGATTCTACATGAAACATTTTTTGCTAATGAAATTCTGCCAATCAATCACATGATGTCAAGTTTAATACATTTTGATGTCAATAATGACTTTTTTTATAATAGCTAAACTATTAGTTCTACAGCTATTGCTGACTTTTTCTTCGCGCTCATACAAATTTTGACCTGCAACTACAGTTTATGACAATACAATTTGATGATAATCATAGTAGTAGCTCCATATCCTCATTCGTGTGCGAGTTTTGATTTTCACATTTCCGTCAACCATTGAATATATTTAATAGTTGTGATAGAAATTTTACAGAAAAGTAAATCTCTGACTCCTGCATTTCTGCTGCTCATTGAAGTGGATGTATAAAATGAATGTTTATTCTCTGAATCTTTGATAATTGTTGGAAATTTTATAGAAAAGTAAATCTCCAATTTCTGATTTTCTGGTCGTCTGTATAGATTTCTTCTTCAAAGTCAGATATCAAAAATTAGACATCAGAGATTCTCTGAAAACTGGTAATAATTTGAGATTTACCACGGCCACATCATTCAAATTATTGATAATTATTAAAATTTATTTTATTTTTCGTTTCTCTGATTTCAAATAATATGCTTTAAATATTTTATTTACGTTTATTTAATAACCTGTCTTAAAACAATATTATCTATTCAATATTAAATCAAATTCAACCATCTTTTGTAATCATAAAAAACTTATCAGTAGCTCTATACGTTTTTGTTTTAAATCTAATGATCATAAAGTATAAAAGACGAATTCTATTCTCGTTTTAGGAACAAAATATTGCATGTGTTTGGATTTTTCTTTTATTGCTTTGATGCATCAAATGATTAATACGATCACTGCATCGATTGGCACATTAAAACTGTTTTCATACTCATTCAGAATCGGCATAAAAAACATCAGATTCATAAAAACGATAAAATATGGTTTTTTTTTTGAAAAGTATATACTTAGAATTCACGAAATAATTTATTTTATATCCGATTGAAAACGTTTCAAGTGTGTGAATGGAGAAAGATCTCTGCTCATAAAAATAATTCGTCTTTATATAACAGTAGAAATTTCTCTCAATCTCAAATTTTCACATTGAAATAATATCATTAAGGTTGATTTATATAAAAACGGTTTTTGTTTTAATTTTGAAAATTCATCGCAGTATAAATCTGGCATTGAATAGATGCTTTTTACTGACAAAACGAAAGTAACTCTAATATTTTATCAAAGAAGGCTGAAAAAATTCATTCCCCTTGAGTTCTAATCATCTTTTGACTTTCAGTAGGTTAAGTATGCTAAAAATGAAATAATCCCTTGCACCTTTCTTTGAAGACGTATCGCTCCCTTCTATCAAACATTTCATAGATTTCATAGTATAAATATGGTCAATTCAATTAGTGAGCAAAACCATCATTTTATCTAGTGACGAAAATTCTAAAGATTATCGAGAAGCACTCGATTGTATTATGGAACAGAAAAAAAGTTGAAAGTGATCAAAAAACAATAATTGAAAATAAAAAACTTAACGTTCTCTTATTGGTATAAATCGTAAAATATAAAAATCATGCGGTTTTTATTTTATCAATGAATTATGAAGCTATCAATAGTTGTAATGAAGACTTGTCCTCCATTTAAACGGATCTTCACAGCCAAGTTTTGAAGATTCAATGATGACATCAACGACGATAAGGTAAGCACTGACAACAACCGTGGGAAGAGGCAAAGTCGGTAAACCGTTAAAATCACTAAAGTAAAGTATGAAACCAGTACATAAATCAACAAGTTCTATGTTAGCTAAGCAACCGAATGCTCTGCATACTCTTATCACAATCGAAGAATTATGTGGTACAATCAATAATAGTAAAACATCGAAGATTAGAAAGTCACCCCATCCGATAGCCGAAACACAGCTGTCCCAATTTTTCACACCATTGTTCAGTTCATTAATATCATCTGCACAATAAACGCCGTATGGAGCTGTTGGATAATTAAACGATAGAGCGTTCACCACTGTTTCCGTTACTGGATTATACTTGTAACGGTTAGGATGTAAATATACGATGCTATTAAAAAACAAGAAATTCAAAAGTCTTATTTGTATGAATAAAATGAAAAGAAGTGATTCACTCAGAAGATACCTAATTCAAAAGTTTAGAGTTTTCTAAAAATTCTTCTAAAAATCTTCAGAACGAAGAATGTTTATAAGATACATTTCACTTTATGCACAAGTTTTCTGAAAGCGAGAGAAATATCAAATTTGATTATAGTGTTCTATTGTAGTTTTTTGTCATATTTTGTAATTAATGTTAATCCTAGGTAATTCAAGTTTGTTCTGGTCTACCTAACGGCGTGCCGTAAGAAAAAAATATGTTAAGTGTATTATTCATATACGTATATCAGTTCTTTTTTTTTTCTTTCTGAACACATATATTATGTACTGTTCAGACAGTTGGGAAAACGCTCTGTTGCCGTTTAAACGGTGATGCATTATCCAAAATCCTCGTTTATCACAAAGACGATTTCGAACTGATTAAAAAAATCTGGTTTTGTGAAACACAATCTGAAAGGAGTGTTGGAAGATATAGGATAGAAATTTGGACCCATCTGGCGGGGGGGGGGGC